AATAATATCATTCAATTATGATTATGGTCAAAACTCGCAAATTACCAATGGCTAAAAACTCTTGAATGATGAATTATCAGATGCAATTGATAGGGAAAAGTGACCTTTGTTAGCTAAGGACAGCCTGAATTTGTCCCCTTAGGCATTTAGCCACCCCAAGTCTACAATGTTATATTAGATCAAGTAGACTAGAGATTATGACATCTGTTAGCTAAGGACGGTCTGAATTTGTTCCCTTATGCATATAGCCACCCCAAGTCTACAATGTTCTATTATATCAAGTAGACTAGAGATTATGACATCTGTTAGCTAAGGACGGCCTGAATTTGTCCCCTTAGGCCATATAGCCACCCCAAGTCTACAATGTTCTATTAGATCAAGTAGACTAGAGATTATGACAATTCTGAATTAGGGGTGTCAATAAGTGACAACATCCGAAAACCCAACCCGAACCCAAAGGAAAATTTGGGTTCTGGTTAAACTGATAAAGAAACGGGTCAGGTTCAAGTCCTATTTTTTGACCCGACAACCCGCATTCGAGTCGAATTGACCCGTTATACCCTATGAGTCGTTACCCACTATTGCTGGTCCCGTTGACCTTGTCCCATTGTAGCAAGCCCTGCGTACAAAGGCTAAGGCCCTCACTTGATTGTGATAGGTACCACTTGAATATTCCAAGTGATTCCTATCGGATCTTCGCCAAGACACGAATATTCCGCTGTTTTCAATAGAAAACAGCCACCAATAGTGGAAAAAACTGAGAAAATAGGGAGAAAACGTTGGAAAAACAATCGCAACAATTGTATTCCACTAGTAGACGATCAAAACCAAAGCAAGATACAATGTTCTTCAATTCGAGAGGAAGAACAACTCTCCCACAATCTCCGAAACCCAACCCAAACCCAAAGGAAAATTCAGGTTCTGGTTAAACTGATAAAGAAACGGGTCGGGTTCAAGTCCTATTTTTTGACCCGACAACCCGCGTTCAAGTCGAATTGACCCGTTATACCCCATGAGTCGTTACTCACTGTTGCTGGTCCCGTTGACCTTGTCCCATTGTAGCAAGCCCTGCGTACAAAGGCTAAGGCCCTCACTTGATCGCCCTGTTGCCTGCGACCCCGCTGCAAAGGGCATGTCGCACATCCCGCTGCGCACACGCTGCTTAGCGGCCTCACTCGTAGCCTGCCGACCCCGCACCCCTCACTCGTGCTACAATGCTAAACGACGGTCTCGCCATCCTGCACCTCGCGCTTCCAGTCCCCATAAGCCACGACCAGGTCTAACTTCCCGCACAATCCCTAGCTGCCTAGCACCTCAAGCTCACGCTTTCTCAGTCAGTTGGATTGGGTCAACCCGACAAACCAGCGGGTCGGTCTGGGTTGAAATTTCTGACCAATTTGTAAACCGGTTCGGGTTATAATCAACCCGTTTGGACTTGAGTCAATTCGGGTTGGACCCAAACCCTATGTCACGATTTGGCCCGGTGAGCTCGTGTAGATGAGGCGGGAACGAAATCGGACGTTCAGAACATAAACCTTTCTTAAAACATGCATTGAATTAATCTAAAATACTCCATAAGAAATTAAAAGCGGCTCTAAAAATTTTCCAAATATATAATAAACACTTCATATCATTTTATATCACTTCAAGAGAGGATTCACGTGTACAAAGGTGGTTACAAAACTTAACTTTCATGCCAAACCACCCAAAAAGGTGTAAACTGCAACTAAGAAAAACATAAAAAGAACCTGTCAGGCGGTCCTCTACGACTGTAGGTGAACCAAGGGCGGTCAGCCATTCCTTGCAGCTGTTTCTCCTGAAAAGTATCCCAACACTAGGGAGTGAGCTAACGCTCAATAGGTAAACTCTAATCTTAACATTTTCACGTGCTTTTTAAAAAGAAAATTTACATATATGCTAGAAGTGAAATACCTTGATTGTTTTGTTACACATGATAGTTCTTATGTCTTATGTATGTCATATGTCTTATGGATGTCATAGCTTTACTTGAGAAGAACCACACAACTTCAAAATTATTCTGCCATGTCATCTTTGTTACTACAATTGTCGTTGCTATTGCACCGTCGCAACTTTTGCACCACTGCTGCTTCTCATCCAACACCTCTCCTTTAGTTGTTGGAAACCCATTTCTATATTTTTTAGTATGAGGGAGAAGAGAATATTTAACTGCAACGATGATCCTATTTAAGACCCTCGAAGTGATGAGAGTAAGAGATTTTTTAATTCATGAATTATGAACTTTGATGACTTGTTTATGTTATTTTGAGAGTGTGAGAGACTATGTATTTAGCATTGTTTGTAGCTTTATATGATTTTTCATGGTTTATATTTGACTTTTTATGATATTACTTTAATATATTTCTTTGATGTTAGTATGTTACTTTTAAGTTCATTTTTTTAATTAGTATAATGATTTAATTCCAAGACTTTCATCTTAAAATGTCCTGTGGCTTATGCCCTGCCTCATGGAAAGAAAATGCCTAAATGCTAAATTTTATAATTTCAATTCTTAGTAATAATTATCTGTAAATTTTCTCAAAAAATAAAAATATCAACCCGTTTGGACTTGAGTTAATTCAGGTTGGACCCAAACCCTATGTCATGACCTGGCCCGGTGAGCTCGTGTAGATGAGGCGGGAACGAAATCGGACGTTTAGAACATAAACCTTTCTTAAAACATGCATTGAATTAATCTAAAATACTGCATAAGAAATTAAAAGCGGCTCTAAAAATTTTTCAAATATATAATAAACACTTCATATCATTTTATATCACTTCAATAGAGGATTCACATGTACAAAGGTGGTTACAAAACTTAACTTTCATGCCAAACCACCCAAAAAGGTGTAAACTGCAACTAAGAAAAACATAAAAAGAACCTGTCAGGCGGTCCTCTACGACTGTAGGTGAACCAAGGGCGGTCAGCCATTCCTTGCAGCTGTTTCTCCTGAAAAGTATCCCAACACTAGGGAGTGAGCTAACGCTCAATAGGTAAACTCTAACCTTAACATTTTCACGTGCCTTTTAAAAAGAAAATTTACATATATGCTAGAAGTGAAATACCTTGATTGTTTTGTTACACATGATAGTTCTTATGTCTTATGTATGTCATATGTCTTATGGATGTCATAGCTTTACTTGAGAAGAATCACACAACTTCAAAATTATTCTGCCATGTCATCTTTGTTACTACAATTGTCGTTGCTATTGCACCGTCGCAACTTTTGCACCACTGCTGCTTCTCATCCAACACCTCTCCTTTAGTTGTTGGAAAACCATTTCTATATTTTTTAGTATGAGGGAGAAGAGAATATTTAACTGCAACGATGATCCTATTTAAGACCCTCGAAGTGATGAGAGTAAGAGATTTTTTAATTCATGAATTATGAACTTTGATGACTTGTTTATGTTAATTTGAGAGTGTGAGAGACTATTTATTTAGCATTGTTTGTAGCTTTATATGATTTTTCATGATTTATATTTGACTTTTTATGATATTACTTTAATATATTTCTTTGATGTTAGTATGTTACTTTTAAGTTTATTTTTTTAATTAGTATAATGATTTAATTCCAAGACTTTCATCTTAAAATGTCCTGTGGCTTATGCCCTGCCTCATGGAAAGAAAATGCCTAAATGCTAAATTTTATAATTTCAATTCTTAGTAATAATTATCTGTAAATTTTCTCAAAAAATAAAAATAAAAAATCCTCAAACCTATTCTCGAGTGCACCTTGGGAATTAAACATAAAATTAAGAATTAAAACTATCAAAATACGTTCCTAGGTATCAAAAACCCTTGAAGTGATGCAAAAGAAATCTTTTTTTAATTATATTTAATAGTACTATATATTTCTTGTATATAAATATATAATTTTCACGCTTCTCTCCTGTAAGCTTTCTTCTTCTATCCCATTGTTCTTTCTTAACCCTGGTTTTGATTCTTGGGGGCTGATTTTCCTCGAAGAATCAGCCCCATTCACCTTCTTCTCTTAAGAATATGGGCCGAGGCAAAAATTATATATATATATACAAGAAATTAACATTTAACATTTGTGTTAGGGAAAATTTTTATTATGCGATAAGATCTACCATGTCATACTATAGAGACTCCGTTGCACATTTTAGGAACTAAAATGTACGAAGCACCGCTCAGTTTAAGGATAATGGTTTCTTATTAAGATAATATATTAATTGTTTACATTGATGTCAAGCTACACTTTGTCTTTGGACCAGAGATATAACTATGATATTTGATGTTCTTAACGAGGAACCTTCGGATCAAGTACCTGCAGTATATTGAAGTTCGACTTCTCTATCATCAGTTTGAGGGTTCCAAGTGGTGAATAAAACAAAAATTCATAATAAATATTTCACCTGCATCTATTAACCATACAGAATCTTTCCTTTATGCTATTTAGTTGCATCATACAACAGGATATCTTTAACAACACTTTAACGTCTGAAGGGATTTCATTAAAATTAAAGCGTTTATTGAAAGAATTTCAGCTTAGAAATGATATTTTTTTATTAGATTTAAATGATAATTTGACTTTTAACAGGATAATGACGAAAAAGGATTAATGTAGCTGACCCCACGTAGTAGGATAAAGGTTTGATGTTGTTGTTGTAGTAGTATTGAAAGAATTTCAAAATTTTAACAAAAGTGCCAGCCCTACCATCTTTACACGGAATTTGAATAAAAAATTATGAGTTAGAGTTTGCAGAAGAGGAGTTCAATTAGATCGATAGTCAATCAGAAAAGTTGTAACAAAATTGGTTAAATTACTTTCATTTAATGTTTTCTAGGCTGATTCCCTTTTCCATGCATGTCAAAGTGTCTCAAAATTTATGTTGTTTCAAACAGTAATTGTAGGTTTTGTGGCTTGCAGCTCTATAAGCTTTTCTCTTTTTCAACAAAAAATTTGTTTGGTGTTGCATGACTCTGATCCATTCAAATCTATTCCGCGCATCTGCAGAAACGCGCTTTAATTGCGGAGAAGAAAACTGAGAGGGCCTATCAGGAGATTGATGAACTTAAGAAAAAGTACGAGTCACAAATTGTTAAGCTAAATCAGTTGCTGGCCGAATCGCACTCAACGAAAGATGGGCGAGTTGATGAATTTTCTTCTGCAACTGGACACAATTCCTGGTTTTATGGCTATGACCGGTGCAACATATAAGTAGCACAGGTATTGACATATCTGATGACTACAGTGTAAAGTTTTTGTTGTAACACCACAAGGCATATATTTCTTTGTAGATTGGTTCAACTCTTCAGTTCTTACTTCTTGTATTGGTCAAATATATTTTAGAAATCCATGGTAAATGCCTGTGTTTTGTATCATTATTAATAATCTCTCTCAGCTTAGGCTTAGTTTGGGACGGCTTTCTTACTGCTTCTTAAAACGGCTTTTTAGTATAAAAATTTTAATTTTTGTACTAGAAAGCTTCTTTAAGAAGCAAGAAGAAAGCCGTCCCAAACGAAACCTTAGTCTGCTTTCTTTTCAAACTTGCATGATATTGTCTGAAAAAAAATTTACAACTTGATTTATGGTCCCATACAATATAGAAAATTTCTTTGAAAATCATTTCCACTGCAGGTAATCCTGTTGTTCACACAGGTTGTAGGATAACCGGTTAAATCTTTAATCCATCTAATCATTATTAACCTTCTTATCTTTTTGTATCTCCAAAACAATCATGAAACAGTAAAGCTTTCCTTTCTAAGGATGCTCTTCTTGATCAATTTGGTCAAAAACATTTATGCATCATATATATAATTAGATGAAATATGATTGGCTTTGGGAGAATTTTCATACAGCTATGGTACAGCTTGCATTTATTTTTTCTTTGATTTCTTATGTAAGCTGAAGTAATTCTATTGGCACACAACAGAGCTTGGTCCCCCATTGCCAAGTTGGTTGAAAATGATTTGTGAAGGGCTTATGATCTTAGTAAGAGAGAAGTTGGATATTTTGCTATGTTGTATAGGAGAGATTATTGGGTTTGGACACCAGACACAGCTTACCATTCGGTACTTCACAGTACCGAGTAATACTGAGCTCGGTACTGTGAAGTACCGAGCTCAGTACCGAGTAGGAGGTGATGTGGCGTATTTTTATTGGGCTCCGGACGTCATCCGGTGTCCGAACCCAATAATTTCCCGGTGTTGTTGTGGTGTATAGAGAGAGAGGGGGGGACAAGAATTCAAATATATCACAGACACTGTCTCAATACTCTCCTGCTGACATTGAAATTCAATGTGGACTGCTCAACAACAATTTTTATTCCTTATGGTTGCAGATAGAGAATCTGTTGTTCTTTGAGAAGTGAGAAAAGGAAGTTCATATGGTCTTGTCCTCTTGATAATAGATGCTACAGCTTCTGGGCCATGGAAGTCCTTCATTAATTATTGAATGGAGGAAGATTGAGTTATGAGAGATATAAGGCTTCGTTTGGGACGGCTTTCATTCTGCTTCTTAAAACAGCTTTTTAGTACAAAATTTTTTAATTTTGTATTAGAAAGTTGCTTTAAGAAGCACTAAGAAAGTCGTCCCAAATGAAGCCTAAGTCTTTTTTTTTTATAAGTAGGTCCCACTATTTTAATTCTTAAAAAATGACTTGTACTGTGTCATGCAATGCCACATGCTATTTGGTTTGTTCATTGTCAGCCTATGGAAACTTGGCTTTTTTTTTTTCATTTGTGAAGATAATGAAGAGGCATGTGATTACTTGATAGCAATGTGAAAAGTTGGTTTGTCTCTCCTTTGGGATTTATAGGTTTGATTTGTTTAATGACTTTTTTAAATGTCAATGTTGAGGTCATTTTTTTCTTTTGAGGATATTCAGACAAATTAAGGCAAATTCATATACAGATCACATATGCGGAACTCGAACTCAAGACAGTGGCTCCGTAGTTTTTGTAAGATGTTAGTGTTAGACTTGTTTTTGTAATATTTAATGGAAAAGAATTAAACTATCGCACGACCATTTTGATATTCAAGCTCTCGGGTCAGGTCGTGCAATTGGTTTATTATTTTGTTTCTTTCGTTATAAAAGAATAAGCATATTTTTCTATTAAAATAACATATCAATTCATTAGGTTTTAGCTGCCAAAAAACTTTGCAACCTTATGGAATCCAATGAGATGGAAGGTTCATTTCAATTAAAAAAATAAATAAAAAATTATTAGGGGACCAAAACAAATTGCTTCTGAGAAGCGTATAGCTTTATCCCAACAAAACTGTTAAATATTATCTTTCAAATTTTACAAAAAAATACTTATAAAAATTCAAGAATTTTTATTTCTTGATTAAATCCCCATTTTTAAAAAAAATGAAGTTTATAGAAAATTGAAAATTAATATTAATTTTTAATAACATCTAAATAATAATAATAATATATAAAATATTTATTATCATATTTTTATCTTTTAATAATTCTAAATAAATGGATCTAAATTTCTAAAATAAACAACAGATGCCTCCAAAATGTCTCTCTTTTCAAGAACTTCAAATATGGGATTATTTATTTATTATTTTTTATTTATTTTATTGGTAAATGCCTAATAAGTCAGCAACCAACTTATCTTAGGGGGGAAGAAAAGGTTTAAAAAAATAAAAAAATAATTATTTATTTAATAGAAATGGGGGCTCAGTAAGTAGACCCATCCTTCTTACTTACAATTGGTGCCAATCCATCCAAAATTTCCAATCCATGAGATCTAAAAATTATTTAAAAAATAATAATTATTTTTTAATTATAAGGCTCCTTTCATCCTTCTTATTTAATTTAGTTCCATACTTCATTGTAGCGTGTAAGATACCTTAAACAAATGTTAATCAAACATCAATAGACTTTGGTGATTGGGGGAATTGGAATGATATGCTCCAATGGGAGGATGAATAGGCTATGGAAGAGGGGGAAAGAGAGTATTTTAGCTATGATAAATAAAATATGAAAATTTAAGAGAAGTAAATAATCTTTGATGGTTAGATTTTTCATGAGCATTTGAAGTCATAGAGTACAAATCATAGTATGATAATTTAATAATCTGAGAGACCCTTCCTCTTTTTATGGTTATTTTTGGGTATTTAAATAGTCATATATGAATGTTTGAGTGAATAGATGTAATCCTTTATGAAATATTTTTACATGAAAAGGTGTAATAAATAGATGAATATTTTCTGAAAGAATAGATGAAAACTTTCATGAAGTACCTTTATATGAAGAGGTGCTAATGAATAAATGCATCCTTTAATGAAGAGACACCTTATAGTTTAGATAACTTTATATTTAAGGAGGAGGAGGATAATTTGACATTCTTTGGACCAAAGGGGGTGTCTATGCATCTTTCTTGTGATTGGTCCAACCTAGGTGTTGGGTTTAATTTAAGTTCCTTGGCTAATTTATTTATCATATATTTGATATTTTGATCTCTTACAAATGTATTTGTTTTTTAAGAGTTTATTCACTCATGTGAATATGGTAGAAGGAAAGAAAATACTAATGCCATATACTCCTCATTTTGCAATTTAGATATAGAAGATCATTTATCTTTCTTTTGATGAGTTATGAAACTTTAGAGTTATGGCAAGTGGTGGTGATCTACTTTTTCAACATCATGTCTATTACTAATTTTTTTTCTTGCTTCATTTTTCTGGTCGATAAGTGAATAAGTCAGTCATCTTAATTTAGTCTTTTATTTTTATAATTTAGTCTTTTATTTTTATATTTGATGAAAAAATTGATTTATTATATATGTGATCAATGTGGACTATAGTTTTCTTCAACAATGATAGAGTCTTCAAAACTACAATTCTTGATGAAGTGCTAGAATCTCATTGTTACAGGCAAGGTAGAACTCTTAGTTTATCATAGAAACTCACATTTATTGTTTATAGGTAATAAGGATTACCCGATTGGCATACCTTGGTGTGTCTAAATATCCTACTTCTTAAACTTTAATCTCATCAATTCTTTTTGAGATAGTAAAGTTTAGTGCATGTTGCTAACCTATACCCATTTTTAACAAAATGATTTCCCTCATTTTTCCTCTCCCATGTTATTAGAGTAGTAGGTTTCATCATTCTTTTAGTGGAAGACACTTCAATTCTTAAAAGATGGAATAATTTTTTTAATGAATCTATGATTCTTTATTTCCAAGAATAAATGGATGAGAATGAAGCTTGGATAATAATTGGCTACTCTTTTAGCTTTCCTTGCTACTACCACCTTGTCTTTGAGCTAACACTCCAATGCATAGTATAAATTTTTTTTCCTTCCCTAAATAATTGGTACTGTTGAGCTCTCCTAAGTAACATACATCTACAAAAGATAAGGCTTATTAAAGATGACTTGACATATCTCAAGGACCACTTCATCTATGCATTCTTTTTGACCCATAAACTTAAATACACACAAAAAGAGTGAAAATTAGCGACTCAAATGATAGTCGACTCAAGTGACCCCTAACACTTGCTGCTACACACAAATCATATACAAGAGAAGGGTGCCCTAACCCAATAGATGTGGTACCCCTAATGATGTACATAAGAGATGAAAATATAAGTTTTCTAACATCAATAAAATACCCCATTTGAATTGAATAATTCAAAAGGGCACAGTCACTAGTGACTTCACTAATATTACGACTATATAATAATTGGGTAGAAATGAAATAATGTCAGCCTTTGGAAGTTTGAGTCATAAAAGAGGCATGAAATTTGATAATTCTATTGTCTTTCTTTTTTCCAACAAGCTCCACTATTAGGTTCACACAAGACACTCAAGTTGTCATTAGAATTTATATGTGTATTAATGAAGGTATTGTACTCATCAAATTCAAAGTCCCCAAGTCTATAAACCTTGTTAATGGTTGTTGAATCAAAATAGACCCACTTAACCTGAACATAACATCTATTATCCACTACCTCTTTTTCATTTGTAAAAAAAATATGAACAACATTAATAATGGCAGCAAATGGTTCTTCACAGAATATTTCACAGCCTCTACTTGAAATGATTTGTATAATGGGTGGAGTAGGAATCTAAAAACCTTATTATGGAATCACTTATTTGTTTAAAATTGAGTCAGTAAATCTAGATTCAACATCAGCAGAAATAAATATGCTCTTATAAAAAAGGGAAGAATACCTCTTCTTGACAAACATATCAGGAGAAAGGATTTAAACTAAAAAGAAAAGTTTGAAGGAGATGGATGATGTTAAATGAACTGAAAAACTGATCTCCTACTTATAACATGATGAAGCATTCCGACGTTGTGACACTTAATGTAGAAACAAAATGACAAAATGGTCAATTGACAAGCACTGCAGTGGTTCGGGCCATG